AATTATAAAACCTTTTCCAATCATGTAAAAAGTTTTCATTAAGTTTAATAAAGATAAGAGCATGGTCTCACCTTTAATATTTAAAAAAAAAAATAAAAAATTTTCATTCTAAGTTTGAAAAAGCATCTATCGAAATAATTAACCACTAGCTGCCATAACAAAAATTGTCACGGCAGACCCTCGATTTTGATTGGCTAGTGGCCGAGGATCTTCAAAATTTGGCCCGCATTACATAATTGTTCACTAATTTCTGGCCGGAATTGACTTTTTCATTACAAAAATAGGGAACGGCTAAATCCTGGTGCATTCATATGTTTTTGATTATTTAATTAAAATTAGAGTAAGGGTTAGTTAGGAGTTAGGGTTGGAGCAGTTCTTATACGTAAAATCATCTTCCCGACATTTTTTATTAATGCTTCAAGACAAGTTTAGACACTCGCTTCTTGTATTTTCGGCGTTTTTCACCTTTTTTCTTTGTTTTTGTCTCGCCAGGCTGATCCGGGTTAATCAAAATTTATATTTTCATTGGCTGTTAGTCACGTGAACGCACCTGGCTTTAAACGGTCCCAAAAAATAGAAATTTTTACGCATTAAGGTAAAATTGGCCCAGGAACAATTTTCACTTAATAGGCGGCTGCGATCTCATTAGTAAAATTATGAGTAATTCGGCCTAATTTTTTGATCGTCGCTCTTAGCAATCAAAATCGAGAATCTGCCGTACCATTTTGTTGCGGCAGCTAGGTAAAAGCTGCGCTCAAATTTGGTTCAAACTTTGAGCGAAGATATTTCAGAAACCACCAGGTCAAATTTGATGAACTTTTTTTTTTTATTTAAATTCTACGAATCTGCAGAATCAAATAAAAATTTTATCAAATTTGGCCTGGTGGTTGCTGAGAAATATTCATTCAAAGTTTGAAAAAAAACTCAAAACATCTTAAAAGTTGTACCCAAATTTGGTTCAAACTTTGAGCGACGATTTCTCAGAAGCCACCAGGTCAAGTTCGGTGTATCTTTTTTTATTTGAATTCTATCAATCTGTAAAATTAAAATAAAAATTTTTTATTAAATTTGGCTTGGAGATTGTTAAGATATCTTTATACAAAATTTAAAAAAATTTGGATACAACTTTAAAATATTTTTTTTCAAACTTTGAACGAAGATATCTCAACAACCACTAGGCAAAATTCGATAATTTTTTTTATTTTAATTCTGCATATCCGTAGAATTCAAATAATAGAAGTTTGTCTAATTTGATTTGGTGGCTGCTAAGATATTTTCGTTCAAAGTTTGAACCAAATTTGGATGCAGCTTTTATTTTGTTAGACGTTTTTTTTTCAAACTTTGAATGAAAATACTGTATCTCGGCACCACCCACTAAGCCAAATTTGATAATTAATTTTATTTTAATTCTGCAGATTTGTAGAATTCAAATAAAAAAAAGTTTACCGAATTTGACCTATATAACTACACTCGAATTTTTAAAAAAATTAATTTATAAATAATTAATATTTATTATAGTAGTTGGAAATCGAATTCAGGTTCGATAATAGGGTCTTGTATACGGCGATATACGGTATTCACTGTGCCACTATGCAATCGAGTGTGGCAAAGTAAGGTGTTATTGCTAAGCTTATTTCACTTTGCAAAAGATGTGTCCTTTGCAGATCACAATGTTGTGTGAAAATCGGAGATTCTGTAGATTTTAAGAATCATCCAAATTTCATAAATATAATTGATCGAAAACATGAATTAATAGACAATTTAGGATCTCAGAAATTTTCTTTGTTCATCATCACGAAAATCATGGGGTCACATCTTTTTGCAAAGCGCTATATAATTGATCGAAAACATGAATTAATAGACAATTTAGGATCTCAGAAATTTTCTTTGTCCATCATCACGAAAATCATGGGGGCACATCTTTTTCAAAGCGCTATAAGATCGTTAAATGATTCTTTGAGAATGAATCCTGACCAATTACAAGATAATCAATCGGAACTTAATTCTTGATCGTCGCTATTGAGCGATGATCATTACTCGAACGGTCAATAGGTTCCAGAATTTTGCTTTGTTAATAACTCGCTTTCTATTGGACAATCGGCTTCATACCCCGATTTTTATTGTCCGGAGATTCTTTGTTTGGTCATAATCGAATGCAAGTTCATGCAATGTTAGTAATGTTAGTCCGAAATAGCCAATGAAAATCGAGAATTTGCATAAAACCGATTTTAGACTTTTATCAGAATTGAATCATTACTATCTATATATTTTCGTGGTAAACTTATTACAAATCAAATTATTACAATCAATACTATTTAATTGTCACAAAGTCAAAATACTATCACCAACTGATCTACCATTACCTTTATTACCACAACCACCATTATTGTTATTTAACGAGTATGATAAAAGAAAGAGAGTGTAGAGGAAAAAAAGAAAAGTAGAAACGAATTAACCAGATATTGAGATACTATAACATATCAAAATACTATGCACCTTTTAAATTAGATACCCTTATTTGGACCGTTTTAACATACGAACAGTCAGGGAAATGTTGTATTCAGGAATTATATTAGCGGACAATAGAATTAGATTATAAAAATAGTAAAAATTGTCTCATAAAGATAAATATGGAAATCGTACTACATACATGCATACGTACGTGCAGAAACTTGCGCCTTCAGAGCCAAGTAAGTACTGTATAAGGCCTCAGCCAAAATATTACAAATAGGAAGGCTTGTTCATTCAAAGTTTATTCATTGGATAGAGTTTATATGAACTTTATTTGAATATTTTGAAATTGGGCGCTTCATGTACTAATTCAGATTTTTTTTTTTTTTAAGTAGATTAATAATGAATTCTTACATATTCTTAAACATGCAAATAATCTTAAATAATAATTGGTTCGAGATTGTGATGTTAATCCCTTATTGACTTAATCGGACTATCAGAACCGAAATAGCCAGTACAGAATTGATTATCCCTTTAAGAAATATTAATACGCATACTGGTCAGACAAATATGACAGTAAATTACATGTATTTAGTATTTCTAAATAATATTTATTCTGGTTGTTTTTATTTTATAATAAGATTTAATATTTTCATGTTTTTTACTATATATTATTATATAGTATAGATTTATATATATTTTTAATGCAAGAATATCGAATTCTATAATGAAAGTTAAACCGTTAAAAACATCCATCATCATTATGTAAAAACTTATAGGAATCGCGTATATTTTTTAAATTTGAAAGTCAAATAGTTTTAAACTTACATACATAATAGATAGTTTTAATGTATATGTGTATAATTTGTGAGAGTAAAATAAAATTTCTAATTCAAATAAAAATGAAAATCTTAAAACGAAGAGAAATAATTTACTTAAAGCTTTTGAATGACAAGCTTAGTTGTTTTATTGTATCTTATAAAAGATTATTTAAATCGTTGTAGAGGAAAATTGGATTTGAAAGTATTTGTTCTGAAGGAGAATAAATATACGATAAATCTTCAGAGAAATTTGAAGTATTATTACTAAAGCCATTATCATCAGTTATAGTTAATTCTGAATTGTTAGGAGATGAAAGTGTAGGTTGATATTGAACATTCTCGAATTGTGAAGGGGTTTCATTAAGATCTTTGAGATCAAATTGATGTGTTACATATTTTCCTTTAGGTATATATATTTTTGAAAAATAACCTTTTGTAACATTTTGTTGTTTGCTGGATGATTGATCATTTTTTGCTTCTCTAGATTTTCTTTTTAATCCAGAAGTCTTAGATTTAGGTTTACGAGAATTTGTTTCTTCAGGTCGTTTCTGTTTAGAATTATTGGTACTAGGCAAAGATTCAACGTAAAGATCACTATTGAATTCATATCCATTTCTAGGAGACTTTAGATCGTCTTGATTTTTATTCAATTCATAAAATTTTTTTAATTCATCGGTTAATTTTTGTATCTCATCACTAATGACCTCTAATCGATTAATAAACTGTCGAATATCATGAACCTCTACAATCCTTCTTTTATGACTATCAGAAAATTTGCATTCTTCTTCACGTCCAACGCAATATGAGCAAGATTTTTGACTTAAATAATCTCCATCGCACTTTTTTTTCATAGTCCTACATTTATCACAAGCAATAAATGAAATTCTGCTCCTCTTTTTCGAATAATTTTTTTGAGTAAGTTCTATTTGTTCTTCAACAAAACAAAAGGTCTCATTCTCCTCTAAAGACATTTTGATAGTAATTTTAAAAGAAATATTCAGTGTTATAAATAGTATGAACACTCAGAGGTATGTGAAAAGTTTTCAGAAAAAAAGAAACTGAAAAAAGAGTATAATGCTTATAGATCGAGAAATTAACTTATTTTAATAAGAAAAAGATTAGATACTAAATAAGTTTTACGAATGTTTTTTTGGTGTAGAAAAAAAAGAAAGTCCTTTTTATACGGCTCTATTTATTACTTTTTTTTTTATTTTTATTTTTATTTTTTAGATTACAATACCAATCTCGTATTCCCGGTGCACAAAATTTAAAGGTTTGATTTTTATTTATGTATTTGTATATTATTTGTTTATAATGCATCCTGTGAAACGCAAATATCCCGGTTAGTGATGGGAAAAATGCGCATTTTATAATAACATGCGCATTAATGCGCACATCTCTAATCCCGGTGATTATCTAAATTTGTATCACATTTTACACAAATATATGGTTACATTCGTTTATAAATAACAATTCTAGAGCCGAGTACTACGTATTTACGTGATTATATGAAATATGATATCACAGGAGTACCTATTCTTCAGCTACTGCATCTTGTAGATTCTGTGCATTCGAACTTCATAATGGAAGAACCATTCATTACTTTGTCAAACATAAAGTATAATTAACCCGTTAATTAAAAATTTAAAATAATACAACTTTTGTTTGCTTAATTTAGATTATTTTGTTATAATTATCATGTAAATTACAACAAGGATAATGTGTGCGTATAGTGAGTTAACGAGTTACCATTACACTTTCTGTAGTTCAACATAAGCACACACTAAATAATTGAAATGAAATCTCGGCCGCATAATAATACTACTTGAACATCATCTCATATTATTCAAATTACATTATGAAGTTACTAGAATTTAGTCTATATAAACGTCATCAGGTAATCTAGCTAATAATGACTCATCATGCCACACAATTTTTGAACGTATCCAAGATTTATTTTCAAGTTCAAATTCAGGATCGAATTAAAATATAAATTAAAGATTAATTAAGGAAGTTTATTCAAATTCAACCCAGTTTATTGTTTGATTCTGTATTAAGGAGTGAACATACATCCATCATAAGAACAAGCTACCTAAGAGGGAATCATTCTAAGAGGGGAATTATTTTTTCGAGAAAAGGAAATGTCTGACATTAATGTCTGAATTTTTGAGATAGAAGAGATAAAAATATTGGTTAATCTGATTGTTATTTATCTGGCCATATGTAGTTTTATTTCTGGTCATATGTAGTTTTATTTAAACTTTATACCAGATTAGTTTTCATAATGACAAAGGCATAAATATTATCAAAGATGATTCATAGGTAATATAACTATCGATCTTTTAACTCGTTTGATGCTAGCTAATAATGCATATGTGACAAGATTTTTAATTAATTCCTAACGTATCTGTCTTGCTACGATTTACTACATTTGATAATATGTAATCCTAAACTACATAAACGATTTTTTCCTTGTAACGTTTAAGGGTAAAAACATGAGATTGTGACTCGTGTGATAATCTTGGTGTAGCATGAGCGGCCCGATTTCTATTTCCGATTATGCATATAACGATAATCATAAATACAAATGCATCATCACGTGTGGAATAAAATTGGCGGAAGATGCATTGTCGGAAGATCAGATAAACAAATAAAATTTTCCTCTTACAGTCATATACCGCGCCAGTTATAATAAATCACATGACCTGTCCTCGAGAAGACGTTAGATGCCTAAATTAATCTTTAATATTTGATACGTAAATATAGAAAGGCTTTGTTCGAAAATCTATTAAAAAATAATATATATATCTAATCAAATATAGCTACGTACAGTTTAGAGTATATTCTATATTATTTTTAGTAATAAGTACTTACTAAATCTCTGGATTTTAAAGTCAGTTCGAAAGTTAGATCAATAATTCTATTCTTAGTCCATAACTTTATTTATCGTGCTAAATGTTATAGGTGTTAGAAACAGACAAAGCTATAACAACAATAGTTATAACAACCAACTAAATCGACAATTATAACGGTGAATTTGAAAAAATATTGGTTATCACCAAAATTGGTTTGGCTGCAAAGGTATATTTTCAATATTTAAGAACATCCAACTACGTTTATCTTTTTTTTTTATATTTACAATACTAATCCTAAATCAGCTCAAATGTCATACATATGTGCGTTATCGATAAGCACACACGTATTATTTTAGTACAAATAA